TATCCACGAGCAAGTCCGGTTTTGCTGCGTCTACTCGCTAGGCTAGACATTGGGAGACTCGGTTTTGCTGCGCCTACTCGCTAGGCTGCGTGTTCTGGCGCTACCATCAGTTCTCGTAAACTGCATTGCCGGGTGCGTATAGCGTGGCGAAAGGGATGCCGCTGTTCGGGTTTCATTGAACGTTGATAGTACAATGCAAGCTAATAGTTAAGCCTTTCGTCAATGCAAGTTGGCTGATGGATCATGCGCCAACTTGTCCAGTGACAGTTGCGATCTTGTTCACCTGTTAAATCAGTGCGACAGTCCCACAATACAAGCTCAAAATGCGCTTGCGGCAGCAACTGTACCGTTGTTTCTACTGTACTGCCATTTCCTGTGTGCGAGACGAGGTTTGCTTTCGACACCGTGTGCAGGCATCGTAGTCGTTGTGTTCTCTCGTGGGCGCACATGCTGCCCCGGTCATGAACGTTACCTCCTATTTGCCGACTTCGGCTCTTTCAATTTTACAACCTCGTTGCGAAGTTTCAGCGCCTGCTCAAAGGGAAAATTTTTCATTAGGTCACTAACACTGAACAGGTCATTGCAATCAGCTAAATGTTCAGCCACAGGCCGAGTGCTGACGGGAATCATTTATTCCGTCATCGTTTCGTCATGAAGACCGTCGATCGAACAACATTCATGCACACAGCTAAACCCGCCTCGAGGACTCAATTGCTGAATTTCAACGTGCCCCTTTTGTTGAAGACATTCCCCACTTACGTTCTCCCCTACTTGTACATAATAATTGTCATAACAATGATTGCGCCAGCGGAACACTCTTCTCGATCACTCAGGGAACCGTAATAGCCAGGGCTCTTTTGGCGAACTAACTCCTATTCGAGTCTCTATTTGCCCATGCGGAGTTCAAGTGGCCGTGTCGTCAGCAGAGCCAACGAAGTCTACATGTTGCGCATGCGCAATGGGGGCATTGATATAAGTGCGGGCTCTGTGAGTTATTCATTGAACTTGACGTGGTTGCATAAAAGCACTGTCTGTTGAATGCAATCGTCGAATTTCTAGTATAAAGTTATTTAATCTAATTAAATGTCCAACTACTGCGCCATGATGACGTTGGACGTTTCCCCAAGAGGCCAAATAACGTCGGAAAACCATCCCGCCCAGTCAGTCATCGTTGAATTTTCAATTACTATTACGAAAACTGTAGGGCGATCATCGCTTTAGTACGTGTCTTCCTGATAAGAGAACGTGCAAAGTAATTCAAGCGATGCCGACAGACCTTTTTACCTCCCTTTGCTTTCCATCGTCGGGGTGTTTTATAGGCACCCATGACATGTCCCTCAGTGCAATCTTTTAAGCAATACGTGGCTAGATACCCAAAGTGAGATGGGGAAAGTTACGGAGGCCAGTGTAGTATACCGTCTCCAAGTGTAGGCAAATCACTCCCGTGTTCGCAGGGCCACCCGCACTCGCGTCGTGTTCAGCCGCTTCTCGTCAGACTATCTTGTAGCAGCATAATGGCCGCTCGCAGTGGCGCCACATTTCAGCGCCTAAATGCCGCCCGGAGCTTTAGCGCCAATGTTGCGCAATCAGCAACACTGCTCGGGCAGCAAGATGAAAAAAAAAAAAAAAACTGCGAGAGAGAAGAGGAAGAGTCGCTGGCGCAAGGTCAATGCCGACTTGGGTCATTCACTCGCGTGGGGCGAGAGGGGCAGCGGAAGGGTGAGGAGTGAGAGAGAGAGCGGCCACACAGGTGACCTACATTCCACGCACCAGGCTTTGGCTCTTCTTGGGCGAGAGGAACAGCCGCATTGCCGTCGACGTTCCCAACGTGGAGATCGCGCCACAACGTGCACGCACAGTGCAGGGGGCGCGGTCATCGCGTTAGCTACAAGTTGGTACCAAACTACACCGCACCACCTGCTTTCGGGGTTCACGCTCGTTTACACGACCAAAATTCGAGGGTTGTCAGGGACTTTCAAGGCTGCACGTGCGAATTTTCAAGAACCACCTACCCTGTGAGAAACCCAACTAAAACGTGGCCAGGGGAGGATAAAGGCTTGAAATAACTAGAATTCATCGAAAAATAGTCACATAACTGGAGCAGAAGTCCAAAATATGGGTCCTGTGACATTCTCTTTCTAGAGAACTTTAGTCATGGCTTTTAAAGTTGCATAGATAATCAATTGCTGTATATGAGAGAAGTTGCAAACTTTTATTCAGATAGGAATGACTAAGGAACAGTAAATACGCAACGCCTTGTTGCTTTTTCTGAGTTTTCATATCAACATCCACTGACTCGTGCTACTTGGTGTGGGCACTCATCCCGAGGCTGATTGACTTGATGATGCACGTCAAGTCACTGTCTCTGCCTTATATTTATACGAGTATGTTGTGGCTGTTAATTCCTTAATAGAAGCTTCTAGTTTCTTTTTCATTTTGTAAGCATTTTGTTTTCCTCATCAATGCAACATTTTTTTTTCTGTTTCTCATCGTGCTGCTGCTTCATTTTCCGAGTTTCAAGAATTGCACGGCGTTAATACCGTGCAGAAGAAGCTAATGATGTTCCCAGTTCTTTTGTGATGGGCACATAACATATGCCACCTGCTACATTTACGGCATCACAAATAGTGCGCTGTGAAATGTGCGACAATGCTAATTAAAAAAAAAAACTAAATTGAAGGATTTGTGAACATTCCAGCACTTCCAAGGCTTTGAAAACGAACTTTTCAAACTCAAGGGTTTTCATGGATTTCAAGAGCCCGCATGAGCCCTGCGCTGTTATTATTGTTACTGCGTTCATTTCTAGGGGTGAGATAGCGGCTCGGCACGTCTTTTTGCCGATTTCACCGAGCCTCCCAAACATGCTATGCTACGTAAACATAGAACAAAATAAGAAGAAAGCAGCGTACCCCCGGCTTTACAGCATCAATAACAAGGAGGTGGACGGGCGGGGATGGGTACAGCTGATTATCATCATATGCTAGCGGATAGTTATCACAGTTTTCGCCTCCCGCGAAAAAGTGTAAAACATATTTCGCGTCCTTCGGGCAGGGAAGGCCCTAGCTGTATCCGCGGGAATGCAGTCAATTTTATTCTGTTGTCGAGGCTTCTTCCGAGCGGGATATTCAGCGTAGACGTGCAACCGCACTTCGAGACGGCGCCTGTACACGCAGGAAACGTTATGAAAGGATTGCGTGAATCGTAGGCAAAGAAAACGTAAAAGAAGCCCCGAGTTCTGAAGGTATTTTTGTTTCTTTTACTTGCGCTGTTTTTTGCCACATGGGAAAGCAAACCATAAGTGATAATGGAGTGTTTGGAACCGTCTAGTTACGTCGCATGTGTGTCGGCCATGTTGCAACAAAAAAAAAGGGGGGGGGGGGGGAGAATCAGACCTTGAATGTGTCAGGCGGCGAGCGCGCCAAATGATGACGGGTTGGAGCATTCAAACATAAGTGGCGGTAAACTCATCATGGCGCACGGTTCCTCGCAGGGTGTCCGTTAACCGTGTCCATGTGGTACATTTGTGGAGATGCAGTGCTTTAATGTTCTTCTCGGATCGTTTCGGAAAGGACGGCGATCTTTAATGAAACAAGCCTCCACCACGGGGGGGGGGGGGGGGGGGTAATCTCTTACAAGCGCAGATGCAATTGCTAATCGTGCTGAATTCAGATAACCTCGGCCAGGCGGCACCCTTAAATGTATCCGACTAGTATACTTGTGCAACCAAAGAGGGCTCGCTTTTGTCGGCTGAACTTTTGTGCCATATAGAGTGAGACTTAGAAGGCAGCAGTGAACTCATCGCGAGCGAAACGTCTCCCTTCTCCTTCCCTAGCAAGTTCGGCTAAGCAGCGCAACCCAATTAGCACTCAGCGGGCGGCTATTTACGACGGCAGCGCCTCTCCAAATGAAGTTCCCCGACGCTTCGAGTTGACCGGCACTATACAGTTGATTCGACACACCCAACCGGAGGCTCCTTCGAGTAAGCCCCATTGATGTAAGGAATTCGGGTGGTCCCCGTCTACGCGTCGTGACTCTTGCTCACCGGGGTTGACCGCGGATGCACCACTCCCCGCGCAAACGGACGTGGCACGCAACTCAGCGGGCGTCTGAGCGCTCCTTCTGTCGACCTCGATGGCGCTTGCGTCGGCGTCGCTAAGTCGACGAGCGTCGCGTCACCCTCGTAACTGGGTCGCGCGAAGACTCTCGCCCACGTAAGCGCGTTCAGTGCTCCTTTCTTTATCTCGTGATGCTGCAGCTTGTGCGCGCTTCGTGGTTAGCCCACTTATCGCTGGAAATAGTCACGATAGTATCGTCACTCGTATTACTGCAAGAATAGCCGGACGCGTGCAGCCCTCTTAGTCATTCATGTTGAACACAGGCGACCATATAATAGTCGTTGAGTGGGAAGGTAGGGGAAAAATGAGAAATGCAGGGCAGCATTATTTTGGCAATAGCTCGCGTTCTTTAGACGCGACACACTTTATAAGCGGTCTACGTATACGCCAAAGAGGGATTATTGTGTATCTACGTAAAAACCGTGGGTGTTTAATTCACGTAATTCTTGTTTACTACTTTGCAATGTCCACACGGGTTCAGCTATGTCCAGCTTTTGAGAAAGTCTGCTAAAAGTGCTTGCGAATATAACGTGCAAGTCCAACTGTCATGCCGTGTCTGTGCGAGTGCGGCGGATCACCATTGACAACGTGCACATCGAAGGACGAGGGCAGGCGCTGCGCTCCTGAAACCGAGGCCGACGAGTCACGAGCACAGTACCTTGCCACTTTCGCAGATTCGATTGCCAACGTGGTGTTCTGCTTGGTTGCGCCTTTTCCAATGTCGTAATGCGAAGCATGAGTAATCGATACAAAAATGCATTGGGTAGATCATAATTGCCACCGGAAACGGCGTGGCTGTGTCACACTACTTGTGTGTCAGTGTGTTGGGGGGGGGGGGGGGGTGATATGCGCATGGCGCAAGCTCTGCTCACGTATGCGACTCACCTGGCAAGCCATGCAGTTGAAGATCATAAGCACTACCCGCAGCGGGAAACGGGCCTTGTACGAGCGGTGAGACCAGAGCCTGTGCGCTCCGGCCGTGACACCCAGGCCGGCGCAGACTCCCCACGTGACAGCTGCAAGATGTTGTAATCCGTTAGTTTGGTGTGTAATCAAGACTTGAAAGGTATTGCTCTGATTCAAAATAGATTAACGTCAACAATGGACCGTATAAACACTGTTTTCGGATGCAGTGTTACTGCTGAAAAGCCTGCTCGGAAACAGCAGTTGAGAAAATAAGCATAATTTGTAATTTAGTTGTAGCATTGAAATGTAGCTTTAAGTTCAGTTTTTCTGTCTAATAAATAGTAACTGATACATCACAAAGAAAATATAAATACAATAGGTTTCATGGTCAAAAGACTAATACATGCAAGTTCTTTGGTTGTATTGTGCCATTACTCACATAACATTTAAAAAATTTGAAGTAAGAGGGTGACTAGGAAAGTCATTTTTTCTCAGGCTCATATACCATATAAAATACTCTAAGAAGTTTACAGTGCTATATATATTATTGCCAAAGTTTTATCTATAGAGTTTGCGCTTGAGGCAGAACTGAAACGCTTGCAGATTTCGCCTGCGTTTTGCCTCACTTGCATGCACACAACCCTTCGCACAGATCGCACTGGCACAAACGTCAAAAGTGTCAGCTCGCTAGTCCCCAGTGCACCAAAGCAGCAGAGGCACTTACAGAAAACGGCTGTCTGCCACTTGACTTTGCTCGTGATGCTCAAATAGAGGCCGTAGAGGGCCATGGAATGCAGCAGGGCGAACACGGCCACATTACGCCACACCACCTCGGTCTTGAAGGCTGGCTGTACGGCTTTATCAGCCTCCTTTTGCACCGCCTGCTGCTCTTGCACAGTGGTGCTGGGGGATGTGATGATCTGCACCACAAGAGTAATGTCACACTTAAGTACTTGCATCAATGGCAGGGGCATCGCCAGTTTCGTCAGTGATGTGAGAACTCGTTCGAAAAATACTCGCTTCCAACGAGCTACGCAAATGACACGTGTTCGATACAGGCTCCGGGTGAGGTACCCAACCGATGTGTCAGTTGTGCAACACGTGAGGAGCACAAGTGAACGTAATTTGGAGCTCGAAATCTCGCGCTATATACATCTCGTCAGTGCGGTAAGTGGACAGGCGGAGGGTAACGGCTTACACAACAGTTCATACGCGTGAGCGAGATATATTGTGAACACTTGACACAAAGGGTACACTACCACGGCATGCTGTTGCGCCGCACGTGTGCCATCAGTCAGGGAGGCAGTGCACATACATTGTCATCACCAAGATGCGCTCAGGCAAAAACAAACGAAGCAAGTTCTTTAGGCCCCTTGCAAGAGCTAAGCATTTCTGCCACCACAACTGCATTAGTTAGATTGTCAGCACTACTCTCGACTCGTATCAAACGCGACCTTTTAACCTCCGAGCTAATGGAGTGAGAATTAAGACACAACTGACCTGCCATCATCAGGTGTGCGCTTTACTTTTTCTAGCGCGTACGTAGTGTTTTGTAACAGAAATGGAAAACAAAAGACTCAATCTCACTCGAGCACTTAGTCCGCCGCATTTGTAGTCCAGGTGAAGCAGCGCCAGGTACGAGCGCCCTTCTCTGATCTCCATGCTTCTGGTCCTCTGTGGAACACCGCTTACGTTGCTCAGCAAGAGAGCTGACCAACCACCACAACCACCCTATCCCAGGAACCAGTGAGAATTTGGGAATCCTCTACTACGGTTTGGCTGCATTTTACTCTCTCCATTTCCAAGCTACAAGTCCAAGCCCTTGCAGCTCGAAGAAGCAGACTGATAGTACAAAGCAATCGGCTGAGAAAGAGACTTCTCGGATTCGACCAACAGCCTCTAGACTAGCCAGCCTAGAAGATGTCTTCTCGACACGTCTAGCGAGTTCGTTCAGCGAAAGCCTTGCTGTCCCCCGTCTTGCTTCGTACAGGGTCATTGAAGCTGGACGAGACGAAAGTGCCCCGAAACCAGCTTGCGCCAATGGAACCCATGTCGGAAAAAATATAAGCCTCCCTTCTTTTTGGGAACCCGTCGACCCACGCACGCGAGCGCCAGACCTTGTGGTAACAATGGTCGTCAACCTTTCGTCTCTTTTTCGCAAGTTTCGCAGATAGTTCGCGGGCGAGTAGATTTTGGCGGGCAGCTAGTTCAGTTTGTGTGGCTAGATGGTGATAGACAGGATCTTACGAACACTGCGCTCTTTATTTTCACAAATGTACTAGTGAATACTGCTTGACTTTATTTGACGACGTACCGCTTTTATTCAACATCCTCCACCCCCAGTTATTTTTTTAAATATTTTAAACTGAAATACAACACCTGTGGTAATTCTGCTCGGCGGCTGTTATTGTTAAGAGTGCTTGTCATAAATTTTTTCAATACCTCTATCAGGCGGCCAAACCCGAATTCTATAAATTTCCTCCATGTAAAACTTCATTTGTCACTTCGACGGAGATTGAGTTATGTCAACGTTACACGGTAACTTTACAATCTTCGAACAGAAGCCACAAGGGATTCGTTAGGCACTGCTGCACATTTTCTGCGTGCAAAATTTCGCGTCTAAAGCCTCCGAAGGGATTTTGAATCCTACGTGTGATTACGTATATCGAGTACTTTCATCACCTTGAAACTAGAAAAAAATGTTTTGACTTGAATCACAGGCACGTGTGCCTGCAAGCATGTCGGCAGTAAGGTTGACAGAAGGGCTGACAGCACTCTACTTTTCTTTTATATACGCGTCATCTCTACGCCGTACTCCGATAATCGAAAACACTTCTAGTTGTCTTGGAGCTCTTTGATGTTTCGTTACTACGTAGATCACGTTGTCCTTTACAATATCAGATGAGCACAGCTATGCAGCGTTCAGAACGCGAAGTTCTTGCTAAGCATGGGTCCCACAACACTACGCATTTAGTGCGTTGACGAATAAGGAAAATCAGCTTCGATCGCTGCTATGAATCTTTGTGTCGCAGGCACGTAAACACCACGTTGCGCACAGATAGGGTAGCTGGCACTGACTCAAGACACCTTTTCAAAATGGCGACACGACTGTTTTAGCCGATGCATGCTGCAGAGAATGCGTACACTTGTATACGTATTTTATTTTTGTAAGACGCTCGTTATGAGCAGAATATGTTGGGATAGAACATTTACGATTGATGGAATTCATACTTGTGCTGACTGCGGCTGTTTGGTAGTTTGCAGTTGTTGTTTTTTTTCATAATTACAGATTATCGGGGGCCAGGTTACTTCGTTCTCCCGCCAACCAAGATCGCCTGAATTCCGCTGTGAAGCGCTGAGTTTAACTCGTTGGCTTAAGAAAGACCGCGTGACACAGACGTCGCAGGTGCCACAACGCACTGCAACCATGCGTTGTAGCAGATGCGAAAGAATGGCAAGCACAAGCAGCAGCATCCCCCCCCCCCTTCCCGCCCCTTCCCCACTCCCACCGTCTTTTCGTCTTCTCGGGAGCAAATATTTCTGGCATGACTCATGCTTTTTTGTGCTCCATTCATAGCAAAGCGGCAGCGTGACATCACAGGCCTGTTCGGGCGGTCATTCTCGCTCAGGCAGCGCGTGGAGAAAGGTCGAGCGAGCAGCGTGTGGCAATGGTTCCACGGGCACAGCATCACCGGTCGGTCTATTCAGCCTGTCACGTACGCCGGTCAGTTCCCACTTGCCCGTCCTGCTTCCGTCCCGTCTCGAAGCACGTTCAAAGCTTCGTGTTGCGATTGACGGAAAAACAAATAAGGGCACCAAGAACGGATGAAGGAAGAAAATTTTCGAGGACTCCTCTCTTTGTTTGACACAACCTTAATGAAAACCAAGTTGTGACACTGGGAAGAACGTTCGAAGTTACGCTCGCAATTATCGCCTGAAAAAGTGGGACAGTCTGAACGCCAAAGGTGTTAATTGAATCAAGTTTCCAATTTCACATCGAGTTTTGAAGTTCAAAAGAGAACGCTACGATGCCGAAACACCGGTGTATTTGAACCTCTTGGGATTATTTGACGTGCACATAAATAGTGGCAGAAGACAAATAAGCGATCATGTAATGTTGCCGCTGTCAGGCGGCATGGTGTTTGAATGAATCATCATGCCGCGTTATATGCAATCATGTAAAGTTCCCATGTTGCATACCAGGCAACTTGCGCGCGCGCGCGTGTGTGTGTGTTTCAGCCGGGCTTCGCAACTCCTGCGGGAGATCGGGTGCCCTGACGCCTCCATCCCGGTGCGCCGTATATATCTCTGCGGGCATCGACGCCAGAACACTCTCCGAACCCTGCAGGCGTTATTGAAGAAAGTGTCTCCACGTACAGACAAAAGTTCGTGCCACCTATATGTTCTGCTCGTATGAGCGTTTCTGTCAGTGTTAAAAGGTGCATGAAGAAAAACACGTCGAGAGGCGCGCAGACTAACTCATGGCGGTTTAAGCTTGGATGATGCAAGCATAACATCTTAGATGTTTGACTTGATTTTTTTTTTTTTCAAGTTCTGTCGAATGACGGCAAGCAAAAGGAGGAAACAAAATATATAATTACTTATCTTCGAGTAATTACAACACCGTGTAAAACTACATCTCTGTTAAATGCACCAAGTACTTCCACAGCCAGCCTCATTACTGACGGCATGTTGGAGGATGTAGTGAGTGAATGGCTTTTGCTCTTATGATAGTTCCAGAAAATTATGATATATATATTTGGAGAATATCACGGTACATATCAAATGTTTACAGCAAATATGGTGAGTAAATGCTGATGAGGATAAAAGAGAGATTCAGTAACCACTGTTTGACTGTAGAATTTTGCAGCAATTATGAATATTTCAATGTTTTCTATATAGCTGCATACTTATCTATCAATATTTTTTCCTTTTAATATAAAGAAGTCCATTCGGCATCAATATCGCAACCTTCACTGAACTAATCAGCACCTTAGCATAAAACAGTGCAACTTTGCAGCAGTTAAATAGACTGTCAGCCGGCCTTTTCAAGTACGTGTAATAAAACGTCTATCTCGGTGAATTAGTCACAGGAAACCGTGATTGTGAGGAGCAAAGACTAATACTAACTGGTTGGGGCGGCAACAATCTTGAAAATAATTACTGGCAGCTTATTGCTATCGTCGGATTAGCTCATCGTGATTGAATTATGCGAGTGCATATTGTAGCAGCATGTCGTGCAGAAACCTGTAGGCTAACGAAGAAGTTTGAGAAAGTGTTACAGATTTCGCAACGTGCGATAGATCGGGAAATGTGAGGCGTAAAAGAAGAGGCCGGAAAACAGCGGTGTGGAAAGGTGAAACAAATGCCCTCCCCCCTCTTTTGTTTTCCTTGTTTCGTGGTTGTACTTAGCTTAAATTGAATGCGCACACCACAAGACCGATACTATACTCTGGTCTGTTAAGTAACTCCTAAGCGCTGTAATAAACGCGCAGGCACTGCGTTCTCCTGCCCGGTGACCGCACTCCAGACAGACGTTCTTACTAATGTGAAAAATGAAATGAACAAAAAATAGAATCAACATTGCACGTAGCCCAAGTTGGGTAGTTTTCAGTTTGTCAGTTCCCTCTAATTTCTTCACGCGGCCTAGAGCGGAGTAGGCTTACATAGTAAAGCTGCTTTGATATTGTGAATTCATAGTTTTTTTTTTTCATTTTTGATCGTGTAAATGTACTTCTGTAACCGAAAAAAAAAAGAACGGCAGAAATCATCGTGCAAGAGCTCGTTGCAGAGAGTTCACGGAACTGCAATTATGTTGATACACACAAACATTCTAGTCTACTCCTGGACAATGCTTGCGTGCACCGGACTGAAAGACAAAGAAATGACCTTGCCCGGGCTTGGAGTTAGGCTGGTCAGC